ATTTTTCAAAAGAGGCAATAACATGACATTAATGAAATCATCAGGATATCTATTGAGTAAAGTCGACTTGCATTATTTCAACAATATGGAATTATTCAATAGATTCCTTATGAATCACCTCATATCTTATATTTCATTGAGGTTATTAATCATTACGCTTCATCATAATTTGATATCATTTGTTTATTTTCCAAAAAACACAGTTACTAGTACAATTCCTGGAAGATTATAATACGAAAATGCGATGTAGCTGCTATTAGTAGTCACAGAAATATTGTTTTATTGTATCTACTCTCAGAGACATTTCTTCATCATCGTTCTATTTAATTCTCCAAAAACGCAATAAAATAGCGCATCTATTAAAACGTGACGTTATTCATAAAAAGTCTTTAAGCATTATATGAGCAACGTCTGTTACGATTTGTGACGGAGACGAAAGATGTTGCTAAAGTGTAGCTATCACGCTTAGATATGTGCGGGACTAAGGTTTTTTTTTATCACAGTCTATAGAAGTCTATTCCAGAATTTATTCGAATTACATCTAAAATAATTCGTCATTGATATGATTTATAATATGATCTTCTGAAAAACATAGAAAGTTGCATTAGAAACTTCAACTTCAATCTCGGTCGCCAAAACTAGTCCCGTGCTTCTTCTCTACTCGTGATGTGCTTGATTTTTTTTTATTACAAGAGATAAGTATGATAATAATAAAATAATTTCTGATGTACGAAACACTTCACTTGAAAAGTGGCCGAGTTAACGACATCGTATAGTCTTCAGAGTGTCTGATGAGTTCCCGAAGTGTCTGCCATAAAAAGATACGTATCTTATTCTAATCTACAAAAAAATCAGTAATAATCATATACATACCTTCATATAATATTATCCTTTCATTTTGTTTTTTAGCTCGCAATTTGTCTTCAAATATCTCTATTTGATTTTTCGAACACAGTCGTCATTGTTCATCATAGACGAGTATTCAATGATATTATATCATTGAGTATTTATATATATCAACGAAAATATTCATAATCAAATAACAAGAATATGGGACGAAACGAAGACTAAGAAGATGTTTGCCGCATACTATGACATCTCTTCTATATCTAGTCATTTAGAGAAAAAAAGTTATGTATTGAAAATGTAGCTGAGAATACAATTAGGGTTTTTCAATATAGCGATGTTAAATGAGTAAATCTAAGTACAAGTGTTGTCAAAATGATAAAATTTTAGAGAGTGTATGTCAACTATAACAGTCGTTGTAATTTTAATTTAATCAGTTAATTTAGTATTTTTTCAGTAAATTGGGGTAGATGTTTAATGTGGAACTTCTTGCCATTCATACCCAGATCCAGACTTACATGCACATGAAATTCAAAGTCAGTTGGAAATAGACCATATTCTTTTATTCTTCAATAATATTGGATTTCTTCATGGAGAATCTCGTTAGAAAATCATAAAATCAAACAGCATCTCTGTTGAGCTCGATAAATCATGAACTTGTTCATCACATATGGTTATCTTTCCCTTGTTGACAATTGTCAATAGAAGTTAGCAGATGATTAAATAGGAAGATAGTAAACTATTACCTAGAGTGTATTTGGATAAAGAAATTTTATTAAGATTCTTGCTTCTTCTGTCCTTGTCGGTTGTGTATTGTGAGTCTTGTCAGATGCTTTCTGCGAATGCAAAGATGAGTGCTGTACACGCAAAAAACCTCGTTTTTTTTTCTTTTCTTTTCAATGTGCGCGCACGAAAGCAGCCGTAAATGTAAATTTGAAGAATGAAAGAGAAAGACATTTCATTTGTCATTATTTTACATTAACTTATCTCGATAGTGAAGTGAAGAAAGAGCCTCTTTCTTTATTACAATAGAAGAAAAGAAAAGTATGCAGAGGTATCACTCTTCAAATATTTGCGTATTTTGAGAAGAGAATACTAAGAAAATAGTTGACTGCATGCATATTATATTACGTTTTACTTTTTGTCATTATTCAATACATATTGGTAGGAATATTAGCCATGGATGATTTTTTATTAGATCTTCTTTACTCGCTCAATCTCAGGTTGAACGATTCTGTCGACATTCAAGAAAATTAATCGTATGTGATACTCGATGTGTTCAAATCAATTGCAGTCTCTTCAATACGGTTTTTTTCTAAAACACAAAAGAATAAATAATGTTTTCAGCTGAAACCGAAAGTAATACTGAAAAATGATAAATTGTCGTTGCTTCTCTTTTGAATAAGAACTCTAAATACTTCTTTTGAAATTTAATGGGAAATCTGGTAAGAAACAGTTAGTGTAAAGAAATAAAACGAACTGATCAAAATAGCAATAGGGTAAACAGTAGTTTTGTTCTCTGCATTAGTTGTAATGAGAAGCGTGAGCTCAGAACTGCCTCGAAGTGGCTTGGATTTGAAGGAGGGGTGTAGGAAAACATAACTAAAATCGTGCAAAACGAAGAAAAATTCTCAGGTCTACGCTAGAAAAAAATGAATATTCTTCAGGATTGGAGAGGATTCTATCTGTTCTTCCAGTTTGGACCGCTCTGGGCTTGACACAGTACTAGACAAAAATCAAAATTCTTGTTCAGATGCTTGAATAAATGCTTGTCAAGAAAAATTATTCGAAAGAAAACAACTGTACTTTTCTACATTACGCGAATCTAGTTCATTGACAATAGATTGGTTTCGATAAGATATACCAGGGAAGAATCATCATTAGTCATCTTTGACTTTTGTTTCGTGTCACTTGAATTGTTTGTAGATTGATTTCTATTGGAAATGAAATATTCCACAAATAATTTAACAGAGAAACTCCGCAATGTTCACCATCGAAAAAAGATAGCTTTTGTTGTACTCTTGGGAGCAACATTTATTATGTTGGGTGCATCCATTGGTTTATGGATTAGTTGGAAAAACGGACAAAAAGATTGTTATGATTCGTGTATGATTCATGGTTTGGTGCAATTTATCAGTGTAGTTATTACAACAATTATCGGATTTATATGTCTGATTTGTTCGTTCATCGTCGGCATAGATTGGCTATGCCAAAGACGAGCAGTTGGATTACTTGATATATAAAAGATAGACGTCGACAAGACGCAAATCGAATGTGAACGGCGACTTGGGTAAAAAGAAGGTTCAGACAGACAATCACGCATTCACACGATGATTGATACGTATAACGACAACCTACACATTCTACACTGACCGTCATAACCATACACTTATACCATCACCAACATCCTCTCTGTTTCAATGTACTTCAGAAGAATATTGAAGCATAATATTCTGTACGTGTTTTTCTTCTAATTTCATAACATTGATCAAAGCACATATATTTGGATTATTTCGACAAATTATCATTAGAAACAGGCTTTCTTATGGAAATTTGGTTTTTATTATTCTAAAGCTTTTTTCGATACTTTGTACTTTTGAGATTTTTACTTTCGAATAAAGTTGAACTGATCATTTCTATTTATGCATATCTGGTTGATAAAAGAATTGTACAAATAATCATTAAACTCTTATATGTATCACATTTTCTGTCTATAAATATAGAGACTTGGTAAGAAAAGAGTTCTTTACGAAAGTTTTCTATTGAAATTCGAACTCAATAAATTTTAATGTAAAGTGCTTTAGTTTCTTGGATATTCTGACCATTTTATGTCTACTCGATATTGTCTGCTCAATATTAATGTGCTATTCTTGGTTTTCATTTAGTGCATGTATGAAACTCTGCTTCGTTCATTATCATCTTTCTGAACTTTTAGAATTCGCTGAGATATTTTCATCATATCGGTATACATAAACCGTCATCTATCACAAAAAAAACACAGACTCATAGAATCCCATTGATATTATGTCATGATTCCCTTTCTTTCACGTATCTCGCCATTTGTATCGACCTAAACTTTTTTCTTCAATTCTTGTCAAAAACATCATCATTCATAAATAAATGTTTTCAATCTAGCTGTCATATACTCTTACTCGAAGCAAATTTAAAAAGACAAATTAGCATATTATTTTCACTTCAATATATGTTCATCAACTAATAAACTAAAAGTGTCTATTTTCAATGTATTATTTTTCATTGGTTTTAATTAAATGTATTTCCTAATATATTGTTAACTTGCTAAGTAGAATTAATAAATCATGGTTTTTATTATATTCATCGTAATTAATGTAAATAATTACACGATGCAAAGAAATTTATGTAATTAAAAGAGCAAATATTGTTGACCATCAGTAAGACTACATAATCAAGTGAGCAAGTCGATACTTTGTATAATTCAAGAATTTGAATAAATCACGTTACTAATGACGATCGTATTTGATCATTCGAGGAAACCATAAAAACTCGTGTTATCCAATTTTTTCAATATGAATAATGCCACTCAGGGTGTGGAGTGTGGCTGTGGCTATCTGCATCCACACATCCTATTTCTTCCCTTTCTATTCAGCCATAGTTGCTATAGAAGAAAAAGCAATTTATTTTTGACGAAAAAATATCGATGATGAATATTGGTAAGATATTAGACTAAATTTTGTGCACACATCCATTTCCATGATCATGAAAAACACTCATTTTAATGCCATAGTCAATATGGCAACTATTTTTAATTCTCGATATCGTGTTACCCAGTGTAACTATTGCATTTTAATGCTTAATTCTTCATTAATCATCTGATAGGGTACTACTAAAAAAAGATTTTGTAAATTTCGATGAGTACGGTCTTTCTTTAGTATATTGTACTACAGTTAGATTGTTTCGCTTATGTCTAAGATAAACAGAAGTTACTTCTAATGTGGCCAGCTATGCAACGGATTTTATTCTCTGTAGCACTAACTCGTAAAATCATTCTGATGTCGACATTTGACTTCTTACTGTTCTTCTTATTCTATAAAGAATTGTCTAATATTTACTTTAGATAAGAGGAAAAAACAAAATAAAAATATGGCAAGTGTGTTACAATATACACATTCGCAACCATGTTACTTATCTTTCTAGGAGTTTTATTTCTTCTACCAACGATTGCTATTACTTCAAAATACTATACAATAAAACCATATCATAAGTAAGTAGGTCTTTGAACATTCACATAACAATGTAATTTTGACTTGTTTTAATATTTCTAAATCAGTGCCGACATCTTTCCACACTATGGTAATGTCTCTGTTTTCGACACTACTCAAAAAAAACTATCCGATATTGCCAATTTCACCTTCAACGTACATGATCAGTCTGATCTCTACTATTTTGTTGCTGGTCCCGTTGCAGTAAATCCCGATCTACATCTTATCTACATGCCTATTCAATGTGCTACTGCATTTCAACGTTTGTTACTATTCTCATACAATTATAAAACCAAAGAATACCGTCAAAGTAAATGGATTTTAAAAGATGGGGGCTTTCATATGTTACACTATGATCCATTACGTAAACGTCTTTTTGGATTAAGAGACGTTGCTACATTTACAATGTTTATCGAAGAGTATGATACAATAACTTTAGACGTTGTTAAAATTTATACAAAACAAGATGGTGAGAAATATACATTTCCATTTGCTTGGTGTTCTTGTTTTGATTACAATGAAAATTGGGTTATTCAAGTGCGTACACGTTTTGAAAATCCATCTGTAAATGCATATTGGATTCAAATGGATTTAAATTTAGTTGGAGTAAAAGAAGATATCGTTACAGATTTTCATTTAATGCCAAATGTACATAATTTCTTAACAATGACATATGATATTGAGAAAACAAAATTGATTTTATGTACATGGCAACATGGTTCAATTGAATTGAGTCTTTATATGTTTCATCTAGATCCACATCAAAGTGGGAAATTTCCATATAAAAATGAATCACTAGTTCTATTATATAAAACAAAAGAAGGAGAAGATATAGAAGTCACAAAAGATTTATGGAATCCAGTAAAACGAGAAGTATTGTTTATGATACAAACTCAAAATGATGAGACGTTCAAGACGACAAATTATATGTTAAGAGTTCAATTTGATACATTGGCAATATTGGAAAAGACAGTGTTGACAGAAAAACAATTGCCATTATTTGAATTATGGGAATATTTTTATTTACCTGACAATTAAAAGTTGAGAAAAAATTGTTTGAAGTAAAAAAAAGACTGACACAAGTTAGACGTTAGCAATCGCAGATATCTTTTAGGTCTTTCTTTTTTTTTTGATTGAATATTGCTCAGAGTCCAAAAACATATTTAAACATATACAATAAACTATTCTGTCAGTTTGAAAGAGAACCTAACGTCGATTCTCTAATTCTCTATACGACCGACAATGATCAGTTCAAGTCACGTTTTCACAATCAAAACTTGATAATATTTCTCTTTTATACTGTTTTATATAGAAGCAACCTTTCTGTAATTGTATCATCTTTTTTTAGCTTAATAATTTTATATCATCATATCATCCACCACAAAAGAAAATATTAATCAGTCGAGAAAGTATAAACTATATAAAATAGACCAGTATCTTCAAACATACGTATCTCATAAATGTACATGAAAAATCCAGTTTCTGACGACTGTCTATTTTGCCAATGTTATTAGCAGCGGAAAGCCATCGAGCGATTAGGTGTAAAAGCTCTAATATGCTCTTTCAAGCAAAAACAGAAATTAAATATACAGAATGAAAGCTCACAGAGAATTTCGGATTACCAAATAAGATATTGGAGATTATTGTTTGGTGAATATCTCCCTCAAACACCACGATATAGGACTGAAAATTTTATGCAATTGGCATATACCTGGATCAAAACTGATTTTGAGAAACGGTGAAAGTGGTTTTAGGTATCCGAATACTTTTTAAACTGATTGTAGTTTCGATGTAATCTTTTCTTTCTTATGGAAAAGATCTTGTTTTTTGGTTAGTTACTTGCAATCATGAGATAGCAACGATTCTTCTTCAGATCATACAAACTCTATGTACATGTTGATTGGCATAGTATTGTGCAAGAGATGAAAGATAGAATGAATCTAATTATTGTATATTTTGCTGTGAACGTTTTTAACAAAACGAAAATAACATTCTATATATTCTTGTAAAATCCAATACTTAAAAAATCTTTTGTTTTTTTTTTCAGAATTAGTAATATGTTATTTATTTTCTTGATAAAAAAAAACAAAATTCAATCGATCCAAATACCTATTTCTTCATTAAACGTCCCATCAGTTAAATAATCATATTCTATCTCATGCTTTATATTCAAATTCAAAAGTCCTTTTTTAAATTGATCAATAAAATTTTCATCGATCAGTGATGTAGCAATAACAAATAAAAATGATAGTTTTGGTAATAAATTATTTCGCAAAGATAACAAATTATCCAAATGTTGAATATTACATTTTAATTGTTCAAGATTTGAAAATGCTCGACAAAACTTCGTAGTGCTGAAAACATTCAATGTATCATCATGTTCTTTGTATATATCTAATTTTTTAATCAATTTATTCAGATATTTATATAATTCATCATCATTCAATAATATTGATAATGTAAATGGATCAATAGTTAATGATGATAGTCGTGGTGATTGTTTTAGTATTTCGAGTAATACTGGTAACATATCTATTTTACATTTAGATGAAATATTTAAATGTTTTAAATTAGTTAAATTAATAATTGTTTTCAGAAAATGTACATTGTCTGCACATAGAAAACGATTATCATTATATTTTAAAGTATCAGATTCATTTTCTAATGTTAAGAATTCAACATTTGAAAAATAAAATTCACATTTTTCTCTTATTGTTTTTTGATACAGTGTTAAATTTGTTACATTGTTGAATATATTTAAATTATTTATTGATTTTTTACAATATCTATTTGTATACGATGTTAATATATATGTGTTTGATATATAAGGTATTGTATAAACGTATGCTAAATCTTTATCTAATACATATTCAGTATTCCAATGATGTTGTTCTTGCCAAAAACTACTTTGAAATTGTTCAAACTTATTAATAATAGTATTATAATCATCATCATCATCATCTATACGTGAGTAGATAAATTTAAATTTGAAAGTATTGAGATAAGGTAATGAAGCTGTAATTAAATCTTGCCAATTATATGCATTAATCATGGTTTCATTTTTGGAAAAAAGTGTTAAATTTTTTAAATTTGGTATTTGTTCTACAAATATCTTAAAAAGTTGAAATTCATATTGAAAATTATTAATAATTAATTTTTGTAGATAAATTGCACGACAACGATTAGAAATCGTATTATTACTATTATTCATTGAGATATTATGAATATTAAGATATTTTAACATAGGCATATAGGTAAATAATTTATCTAATTCAGTTAAATTATATATTGAAATTGTTAAATTTACAATTGGAAATGTTTGAAGTTTATGATTGAGATGATGAGGTGGTTCGGACATTGCTAATAATTGAGGTGTACCTGATGGTAGAATACTTGATAAATCATAGTCAGAATCAATTAAATGAAAAGAATATAGTTTAGATATTAATGGTAACATTGATTGTAAATTTTTCAAATTAGTACGTCTAATTCCATCCAATCTTAATGATTCAAGATTGGAAAATTTATGAAGTGAGAATAATGATAGAAATGTATCAATTTGATCACATGTATTTTTATTTGATAATTTTAATGAAATAATTTTATCTTTGATTTTTGAATCCAATAAATATTTTGTACAAAAGTGATCAAATATTCTTTTTCGAACATTTTGAAAACTAAGTCGTAATAGAATAGTTCGAATAAGGCCGCTAAAGCGAGGATTTAATTGATCAAATGAATAAAAAATGTCTAGCGCATTGAGATATTTAAAGCATTCGATTAACAACTCATTTGGTAATAATTCAAATGTCATAATAATCGTCTGATCACTCATGATTAATAACACGGCACGTTTAGTTTTGTGTATGATAAAAATAAACAAAAAAGTGTTTTTTTTTTGTTTTTTATGAATCATACTGTAAGAAAAAAAAACTCAACACATGAGGAATTGTGCAATTACATATTATAAATCATTGCTGTTTTTTCCGTTCACTGTTTACTCTCTCTCTCTGTGCGGTGAGTGTGACTAGTCTCTTTTAGTGGCGTAACTAGGGAGTGGCCAGATGTGGTTCAGCCACAGCACTCGTAGTTTGAACTTAGCGAGGTTTGAAATCGAAATAACTGAAAATCATTCAGAACATCTTCGTATGTTCAATTACTGAACATGTATATTGAACTTCACACTGAATATAATAGAGCGCCATCTTATCATCATAATAATCGTTAGACATTGAAGGTACAAATCAGCATATTATGCGATCTCTTATGACTAATGTATGCGAAGAACTAATGAAAAATAAAAATATTTTATGAATATATCAATAAAAAATAATGAAATCTAATACATGAAAAAACAAGAACTACTTAAGTATCTCATCTCTTTTTTCATCGTCTAAATAAAAAATAATCAAAACTAATGGATGCGTCAGATATAATGGCCACGCTTTGCATTTCAATTTTCATTCACGTAATATATTGAATAAAAAAAAAACAAAATATACCACAAGACGCACCATGAAAAGTTTTACAGTTTACACAAGATCGCTTTTTTTATAGCCGCACTTTTTGCTTTCAAAATGGTCAAAATTTTGAGTGATCAAATTTTAACTGTGTGAGAACGATGTTTTTTTTGGCACAAAATGAATTCATTTGTTTTTTCACCAAATATCTTTCATTTAAAAGAAAAACAAAATACACTATAAGGTGCAGCTTGAAAAGCTCTACAATTTATACAGTAAAACTTATTGTAATGGTGTTCAAAAAATAGCAAAATTTTGTACGATCGATTTTCGCACGATCGAAATTGGTTTGCTCAAAATTTTGCCTATCTTGAAAACCCAAAAATCAAGTATAAAATGAGCGATCCCGTGTAAATTTTAGAGCTTTTCACGCTACATCTTGTGGCATATGTTGTTTTTTAATACAATATATTAAGTGAATGAAAGTTGAAATGCAAAGCGCGGCCATTATATCTGGCGTACCCGTTATTATCAGTTGATTGACAATATATTAATTGAATTAGAAGACCGCTTTTCAAAAAAAATTTAGAGATTTTATCAGGTCTATCATCGTTATGTCCACACAGCAATATATTTTTAAATTTTGATGCATTGAAAGCCTTTGCTCACCATTTAAACGTTGATCTTCATGCTTTATGTAATGAATTAATGGTAGTAAAACCTATGCTACAGAATAAATCTTTTACTACAATTATCGATTTTTATTACGAATTATATCCGTTCAAAGAAGCTTTTCCAGTTCTTATTGGACTTATACAAAGTACCATAATCATGCCAGTATCTTCCACAACATGTGAACGGACTTTCTTAAAAATAAAAAGAATAAAAACAGCAGTTCGAAATTCGATGAGTGATGATCGTCTGAACAATCTTTGTTTACTTGCAGTTGAACGCGATATTGATATTAATTTTGAACAACTGATTGATATCTTTTTGGAAATTCATAAAAATAGTCAGATTATTCTCAAATAAATAATTACTTTTTTTTGTTTTCTTGATATTTTGTTCTTATTTATATATGACCTGACTAGTTACTCATCTAGAATAGCCGATGTGTACATAAAATCTTTTAGGTTGACTGTGATTTTAAGCTTTAAAATTTTGCAATATTAATTCACTGCATGTGAGAATGGTCAATATTTAATACAGGTTAAAATTGGTCTGTGGCTGAGCCACACCATCCTTAAATTCCTGGTTACGCCACTAGTCTCTTTATTGCCATCTACCCGCACACTCTGATTTCATCCCTAAATTCACCAATAATTCAATCTATTCATCAGTAACTCTTGCACATTGTCTTCCTGTCATGTTGTTCAAGGTCAGTCGACTTTGTTTACCTTACAATTATTTACTTCAATTTCTCAAATCATCACTAATGATATAAATATTAGCGAAGAGAATTGATTGGTTATAGATTATGTGTTATGCTGACTCGCTGCTACTTAAGGTCTTCTCCTCTCAAAAAAGTCACTTTTCGTCAGAATGATTGAAATTAAAATAAATACAGGGAAAGATAGCCCGTGATCTGATCTCTCATAAAGGACAAAAATGTTTACTGGGCACTTCGTTTTTTCCAAAAAATGATGGAGATTTCCGCCATTTTCTATTCGAAAAGTAAACTGTTTTTTGAAAAAAAAACCAAAAATCTTTTTCATTTTATCTCGTTTTATAAGTTTTCGGTTGTGTCTCCAAGAATTCTTGAAGGAGCTGCATTGTAGTGAATAACTTTTTTTTTTATTTGAAAGCTCGTGTTTAGGGCTAACAACTCTCGTGGCCCTTTTTTTAAATCACTTTTCTTCGCTTAAAAAGTAAGAATTAAAAAAACGACCATGAGAGTTGCTACCTCTAAACACGAGCTGTCAAATAAAAGAAACTTAAATGTATAGAATAAAGATTCATAGAGAATTCTTGGAGACCAAACGAGCTATTTTTGAGCCTAGTTTGGTGAATATCTCTATCAAACATAGCCTTTCCATACCAATCCCAACATATCCTGAAAATTTCATGCGATTTGGATGATCCTAATCTGCAATTGATTTTTGACGGGGGTTGACCTTAAAATCGAAAATGAAAAAAAATCTTATGCGAAGTTGAAATTTGAACTAAAACATTTCGAAGAAGAAAGGATCGACATATAAAAAGTATAATTTCATTTTTTGTCTAACTGGTCGTAGAATAATTGATGAGATGTAATTATAAACGAATGCTAAAGCGTATGACGACCAAGATATATTCCGTCACAGTATGATATACTTCTTAACCTATTTCTATCAGTTTATGACAGTTCATGACAAAAATTAGCAATTATGTTCTAAAAATGTTATTATTCATTATAAAAGCAACGTCATTGCGTTCACTATTTTAATAAGGTGCATCAAGAGCAAAAGGTAGGCAAAAAAAAAACGTTTTTTTGCTTTTTACGTAATTTCATAGAGCTTGCCGAGCTGATTCCGAATACATATATTTTATTGTGTTTTGATCAAGTTTTGGGTCTGAAACCTTGAAAATACTATAAAAAATTGAAAAGGAAAAAAATCATTGTTTCGAAAGACAACATGAAGTTTCGCCCTTTTCCACTAAGTATCAAAATGTAGCCTCAAACGAATTCTAACATAGCCAGAATTTTCCATGAGATCAATTAAGATGAAAAAAGTGACTCATAGACACTCATCTGTTGTAAACCTATCTAGTCTTTTGTTTGAAAAATTTTTTTAGATGTTTATACACCAATCGAATCGTCGTTCGACAAGGAAAAAAAGTACATATGGGTTTTAAGAAATTTTGTTCTCCAGTTGAGACACGGAGTATTCACTAAATCATTAATGGTCAGGCTAAATTCGACCCCTGAATTGCCATTTTTTGCAGCAAAGCTCAATCAGAATGCAAAATAAATACCATATTCGGAATCAGCTCGACAAGTTCTATCAAATTATGTGAAAAACAAAAATACTTTTTCTTTTTGCTTACCTTTTGTCCTTGGTGCATTTTACTCGCAAGATTATAATCAAATCTCTTTTTATTCACGAGTTTATATTCATAAGATAAAATATCAAGTGATCAAAATTGAATTATTTTATTTTTGAAATAAATACAACATCAAAAATTCAATTCATTGTAGTTATTGGACGCATTCGAAGTATTGTACCACGTGCAGTTATTTGTAATGTATTGATTTCGTTGAATCGCTGATGACAATATGATAAAAAATATTTTACAAGAATTTTTCGACAATTTTTTCGAAATACTTTCGAAATAATAAAATTCGAATAGGAACTTAAACAAGCTCGAATGAAAACAAGATTTACACTAAAACTTAATAAAAAATAATTTAAAGCTTGATGTTCCAAACTTGTATTTATATTTGCTGTTACTTGTGTATAAATATAAAGAATTGATCCTGATAATGAAAATATAATCGCAATACAAATTTCTAATAATAACATTCTTGTTAATTGATGATCTCTTGATGATAAATTAGTCGTATTATGATCACTTGTAATCGGATAGATTCGAATTCGTTGTAAATTTTTCCATGTTATAAATCCAAATATTGTCATAAGAAGTGGAGGTAAAATTCCAACAATAAACATTGTTGAATAACTCATAAAAAGAGCATAAAAACCAGGATTAAAAAAGCAAATCTTTACTCCTGGTACAGGTGATTGAATTTCAGTATAAAACCAAATAGGAATATAAAACAAAAGCCATATCATTGTTATGATACTTATAGACAAAAAAGCTAAATGATAAGTACTTCGTTGTCTTATTAAGGCATTTCGAGAAGTAATTAAAATTCTATCAATTGAACCTAAAATTAGATATGATTCTGGTAATATAATCGATACATTCAAAGTATATGTACGAAATCGACAATAAATTAGATGTGATATAGATAGATCAATATTGAAAATATAACTAAAAGTAAATGGAAATAGACCAAACCATAATACAAGAAAATTACTAATACAAAATGCAATAAAATAGATCGAACCCGGCTTTTGACGCAATGATTTTTGTGTAAATACACATAAATTGAGTATTCCACCTAGATTTCCAAGAATGAGAATGATAGATCCATCAATTTTGAAAAGATTGATTGTAGCCATTTGATATATAATAGTCATATCCGAAGATGACATGATTTATTTCAAATAAATTATACTTATACTAAATAGAATCGATGTATTTGAAATTGATCGTAGTTCTAAAATAACTTATTATGAACAGATAGTAATGTTTAAAGTATATATTTCTTATTTGCATATATACTATCCTTTTCTACTGACAAGAAATATTCTGAAGTTAATTGTGTTCAAGAAACTCATAAAGACTTTTGAAAAATCAATTGTGAGATATTCAATTTATAAACTCTTATCTTTTTTCTGTTGTATGGATCTTTCATAGATAATTACTTTTGCGTTTACTATTACGCAATGACGTAAAAAACTTTATAGATGGTTCAGTCGAAGCATATCCTACTAAACCTTGAGGGTATAAGTTTCACGAGGATATCCTGTTCATCAATATAGACATATACTCATGTTCTCAGGTCATCAAACAAAAGAGAGTTATTATGAAGTCGTACAAAGTCCTTATCTCGGTAACATGAACAACAAAATGAAAGATATGATAAATAGATAACTTGACGGAAGGAAATTAAAGTTATGGTTCACTCATAATATTAATATCTGCTAAGCTTTTAGACTTTTATTTGTTAATGATGTTTATTAGCTACTCCTTATCACCAGAATGTAACTACTTTACATACAACACACCTATGTATATATATGTAGAATAGCATAGAAAAATAACAAGATAGAGAGAGGAAAGGAAAATCAGCGAGAGATCATATCAATTCTGGCATAACCTGCTCAGCAATGCTTGCGACAGAGTATATACTCAAGTGGAACAATTCAACTAGTGTAATAGCCAAGGACTTCAATTGAAGGCATGATATTGAGTACGAAAAGATATCTCGATAATCATTAAAAAGCATGACACTTTATATCGAACATTTACTATCGACAGATTAGTGAAATGCTGTTTTCATGGATTGATTTTTTACAAGTTCTCAAAACATTTTTAATGAATTACGTATATGATGCAAAAAAGTGGCAGAAGTTAAAGTGAGAAATCAATTACGATAGTCTATTAGTCTAACTTACGTTTGATTCATACTTCTGACAAATAGTTTAATCATCATGTTAGAAAAGTTATTATTCAATCGACACTGTCATCTTGTTTCTTGGATAATTTCTAAATTCAAAATAGAAAAAAATCATCATTTTTCAGTTTCTTGTTAACTATGAAAATAAACTAGCATTCATAGAATATCTATTCAGTTAATTTTAGACTAAAGAAATGAAAATAATGATTAACATGTCAACTCAAGATTGTTCTAAAGATGTTATTAGCAGATATTTATTAGATTTTTTTTAAAAAAAGAAGAAGCATGTTTTGATGTGACCTTCTTTTTTCAGACCATGACATTTTTTCTATTGAAAATCTAATCAGAGAATTATTAGCAGTACTGCTCTCTCTTCTGTTTTTTAGATTTTTAAACAAGATTGTTAGACTTTGCTAGCTCGAAATCTTCGATAAAATTACTATCGACATTTTGTTAATGTATGATCGTCAACCTTATTTTTTTCTTAAGAATGACATCTATTTCTAGGCATTGCGAAAGTAATTCATCTTCGTTTTATTCTTTGCTCGACTTAGAATCCCGATATATTAGTAAATACTTTGAAAAACTGGTAGACATGCAGTGTTTAGTGAGAAAAATAAGTAAATTGAATCCAGATAGAAGTTTCGATGGGCTTCATTTGTAAAATATTCATATTTTATGTAAAAAGTTTGCTACTTTTAGTTTTTATCAATTTTTATATTTAACAATAAAATATGAATGAATGGAATTCAATCAACAGCGTAATCACCATCGAAAATACTTTTAAATTTAATTACATGTGTCAAAGTTTTTGCTTCATCTCATCACTAATTATTAAGCAGAAAAAGATCCGAAATGTTTTTTTTTGTCCTATTCGCAAATACTACAATAGTATAAATCGACGTTAAAAATTGAGATCTCAAGCTTTTGTTTCTGAAATGTTATGACGACAAGACCTCAACAATGTCTCCTACCTCTTGCACTAAAATAGTCATGTAGTGATAAACTCATAAGATTTAATCAGCTTCTGATTGTCTGATTTCTGTGCACTCAAATTTTGTAATAAGGGTGTGGGTGTTAGTCGTGCCTTCAACTACACGTACACTCTGAACTTGAACTTTTACAATTATCATTTTATATATGTTGGATAGATCATCAATTTTTGTGTATAAAAACATGTTTAGCAAATTTCGAGTTGCTCTTAACATAAGCTAGTGATCAAAATTAAATGTCTCACAGAATGCAAGCGTAATAGTAAAAGCTAGTTTGTCCGAATAAAACTTCATATTTTTTTTGAAATTCTAAAGTGAGATTCATAATAAGCGTGAAATTCTACATCGTTTGATGTGCTTATTACAATAAATAGAGACAAAAAGTTGTCGACCAATTTCTAAGGAGGAATATGAGCGGGTGTGGATGTGAGTGTTCACTTCTCTTTATCCATACCTACATCCACACCCCACACTCAAAGTTAGAATTTGGAAAAATATTTGTAAAGTTTGTTCGGACAAATAAAAACTTCACACTTATATCTATCATCTGAAAAAAATCGGTTGATTAATTTTGATAAATAGTGGAATTTTACGAATTTACTTTCCTAAGAGACTTTTGGAACATCCCCTATATGATAATCAATTTTGCTTACTTCTAAACATATCGAGCTTTCATAAGGTAAGTGAACAATTAAAAATACATGCGAAAAGATTTCTTATGTAAAAGTACATGAATACCCAGGCGAGCAAAAAATAAGGGGTGACGCCCGACATGACTAGTCTAAAGTGTCCGTAGTACCCGTCTGGACTAGTCTAAAATGTCTGCACTGCCCTTTGGACTAGTCTGAAATGATTTGCAGCAAGTCAGGATTAGTCGTCTTCACGAGGAACGTCTTGCATCTAAAATAGACTAGTCCAAAACATGCTCTAATCTTGTCATGACTAGTCCGTTTTGTATGTGCATACTGTCCAGACGCGTCAACTTGAAGGCAAAAACTAGAAGAAACGAAGGCGATAGGCGGATTCGAACATTCAAGCCGACAATATTGGATACCTGACTAGTCTGAACTGTTTTCAATGAGTAACGCGGACTAGTATGAAGAGTCATCTATATTGGTCATGACTAGTCGTTTTCGAGAAAGTAATGCTAATTCTGGTCCAGGCTAGTCTATCCTTCCAAACAGTCTTTATTGCTTGGACTTAATCATTCGGACAATTCGTTTTGACTAGTTTGCATTGGGACTAGAACGATGTATCTAATGAGAGTTGGCTATTTATGTCCTTTTAAATTTTTAAATTGTAATAACAATCAAGAATAATTTTATTCGAAAAATTAATTTTAATGCATTGATATGAGGATATTATTTTATTTCAATATAAAACCTAATGATTTGAATTTAAAAATGGATTTAAACGGTGGAATCATAGTTCATTTTCAAATTTAAATAGGAAATATTTTAAATTAAGATAAACATAAACCATGAGATGAAAAGCAAGATTTTTTTTTGAAATATCTATTATTATTTTGATTTTGATTTAAATTTGAATTGTTTTTTCCAATAGATAATAACGTTTTCCAAATGTCGATAATCAAAAAAAAATTCTGTTGAAGGAAATTAAAAAAATTCTGAATTAATTTTGCTTAGCTTTATGTAACTAATTTTCGATTTTATTACAAGTAGTTTCTATAAATATTAAAACTTGAGAAAACGCTGAGTCAAACTGTAGTAATTAGTGTCTTCAGATGTGTATTGACATGTAAAAGTTGATCACTAGATCATATGGCTCAATCGGGTAGACGACGAGTAAGTAACACAAGGTATGCATGTACGAATCTAACTTTCTGCACATATTTCTATCGTTTAGACTAGTCCGAACTAGACCGCTACATAAGACTGAAAGCTAATAGATGTCGCGTCACAGACGCTCTGCTTTTTTTTATTTAAAATCTATTTTCGGACGGGATGTCCAGACGGGGTTAAAGATTCCAAACCATTTTGGACTAGTCATGTAGTAGGACTTTTTGAGAAAAAGACTAGACATGACGCATAGTCACGACTAGAAAAATGACTAGTCTTTTTACCCGTCCTTTGCTCGCCTGGGTAGAGAGTCTGTTACATCCATATAAGTAGTTGATTTATTTCCTTATCAAAACTAGCATCGAACTGTTGTGTACAAAGAATCGTATTGTCTTGTAGCCATTGCTTTGCATCTATTTCCATTTTCTCATGAAATTGTCCACTGACACAAATTGCAGTGAGTCTATGTTCTTTGAATTCAGTCAACAGACACAATAACATCGATTCTATTGAGAATGGTGCTACTGTTTCCCGCGTCTGTTGACACGATTCATTGGGTGAAGTTTGCTTAAGCAAGTCTTCAGAAACGTCTTCCCTTGATATTATTGTTGTGTTCGGCGATAAATGTGTTAGGTCGACGTACAAATCACGAAGACGAGTAAAAATAGAAGCAATGATAGGTATATGTTCTTCGCTGAGTGTTAGCTTGGACACAACACTCGACTCGTAGATGAATAGTGATGTAATGCGTTGGCAAAGAAGATCACACATTTGTTGGTTTTCAAGTAGTTTCATCAGACAATCAAAAGATAAACCCAAGCGAAAGAGATTAGGTGCGGCGATCAAAATCAAAGAAAGATGATCGAGATTGGATGGTATTGATCCATAAAAAGTGACTTGCATGAGTCGAGATAGCTTGGGAAGACTTGGCACTGGATATTGTTCTTCTGAAAATAGTTTAACGGTAAAGTAGTGACGAAACAATCAACTGATCGTTCAAAATTTTAAACTCTCTCGACAGTATATTCAAGAACTGGGAAATAATAATTCCTACCACAGTCTCCATATAGTTTTATAGTCTCTAAAAATCAAAGTAACGTAAAAAAAAAAGTATTAATTTGGTATTTGGAAGCTGTATAGGAATAATTGGTGGTATGATACAACGGTTCCTCCAGTATTAT